ATAGTAAATTTATCACTCTTAAAAAAACATAATCCACCAACTCATTCAAACTAACCAAGGATAAATTTACCACTGTATAAAACACCACAAGCAGCAACTACATTTAACCAAAATCAAAGAATATAAATCTATGAAACTTAATCTTGTAAAAATATCAACAAAAAATATAATTTCTGTTCAAAAAATTCCACAATCATCCAATGCAACTACCGAAATGATGTATCTTTCAAAAAATACTCAAACATTCAATGCAAGTAACACCTCTCAACTCTCAACAAAAGTAATTCAATTAAAATCAATACAACTAAAGCAAAGCTTCTTTACATATCTTCTAATTATGAGCTCTTATCTTTCCACACCTGCTGCTCTTAATCCTTTTGATCTCGCCCTTCGAAGGTATTCTCTATATTCTTAGACATCCAGGTAGTCTCTTACAAAGAGGAGGTAAAACAACGTCATCATCAATAACTACATTTGGCTTCCACATACTAGGAACTGAATAGATAGAATGCGAATAAGAATCACAATAACTATGAACACGGTAGTAATCATCAAGAAAATAATTCAGATCATTCACACTCCTCTTTATAGCACAAAAACCATGTTTGCAAGGAAAAGAATCAATTTCCCACAATTGACAAGAACAAGAATGTTTCCCAATATCAACCATAACTGAGTGATCCAATTGGATTTCATAAATGTCATCGTTACATTTTTTAACTATCCATGCCTTTGTATCATTAAAAGCTTCTTCCAACTTTTTCTCTGCAAAAGGACAAACAATACGATTCCACTTATTCCCAACTTTTCTCGTTTTTCAAAATTGCTCCATTAGTTTCACCTAGATAGCATAAACAAGGCTAGTTGAAAACAAATGGCGCTCATCCCTAATCTATGAATTAAAAGATTCCGCAGTATTTGTGCACATTTCACCATACCTCTTGCCTTGAAAATAAGTGTTACACTAACACTCATTAGGCAAATCCTTAACAAACTTCTGCATATTACGACCACAACGACCCTTAAATTCTTCAAATAGCTCATTAAACAAACTCAATAGTAGGAGCATATGCACATCTACTAAAAAGAGTAAGCAAATACTATTTAGATTCACGACTCTTCACTAACAAATAAGTCTTCAAGTTTGTCTTCAAATGCATTAGACAAAAAGAATGAGAAGAAAACGAAAAGACCTCAGCTAAAGCTTTTAGCAAACCTCTATGCCGATTAGTAACAAACGCAATATCCCATCCTGGAGTCAAAATAACAAATTACTTTGACAAGAACCAATGCCAACTGTCATAACTTTCACTATCAACAATGGCAAAATATAACGGATATAAACCTACAAACAAAATATATACACATTATTCGTAACAAATAAAAAGATTACAAAACAAAAGTAAAACGCAAAGTATATAACATATAGCACCAACCATAGAAAACTTTATCACTGTATCACTACAATAATTCAATAGTAACATATAACATATAGAATCAATGCACAATAAATTTATCACTAATTGATTGACCATACTCAATAATCAACACTCTCCAGTAACAAAAATGATAAAATTATCACTGTTTTAATAATAATAACAAATAGACATAGAATATACCTTGGTTACCGTCTTTTTCCATAGCAGCCAATAAACAACCTTTGTGCCTTCATTTCAAGAGAGTTCCATCAAGTATCAGCACAGGCCAACAATACTTGAAACCATGAATTCATGCCTCAAAAGCGAAAAACAGGCATTTGAAATGTCTTCCTTTACTATCAACATCAAATTTCATATCAAAAACACTCCCCAAATTACAATCATTAGCGGCATTAACATACCAACGAAGATCGTCAAATGAAGGTGTATAGTCACCAAAAACAACACCCTTTGCTTTTTCAACACCCATCCAAGCTCGCCGATAAGAAACTTCTGCTCCATAATAGTCCTTGAAATCACAAACCACCTCACTAACCGATGTCAAAGCCTTATTACGAACCTCACTTAAAATTAGCCCACCAATCATACTCGAAGTCATCCTAGCATGTTTAACTATATGAAAAGAAGATCCACACGTATGAACATCGTCAAATTGTTTAATAACAAAAGCTTTATTAGAATTTTCCACTCTAGCATGCACGCTCCATAAACATCCCAAATCAGCCCTTATATTACAATGAACAGTGACACGATCCTTGTCATTCTTAACAAAATCAAAATTAAAATCGAAATGAATATAATACTTTGACAACACATATCGAAATTCAACAACTCCTTGAGCAAACCTTTGACCCACTCCTTTCATACAATTAACCCACCCATCGAAGAGTAAAGTTTTCCGTTGATTTGAATAAAATGAAGGAAAAAATCAATTTCACAAACAACACTACTACTACTACTAGCTTCACTATCACAAATCATATAACCTTCACCCAAAGAACAACACTTAACAAAAACATCAATACGATGAATATCACAAGAAAGTGTGAGTCCAACCATAACCTCCAAATCCCCTTCACTTTGTAGACCACAACAAGAATGTCCATGCATTGAATACGATATATTCAAAGAACTACCAACTAACTCACTCCACTTTGCACACAAGTTATATACTAAATCCTTGAAATTAAATCCATCATTATACTTGATAACCAATGTCACACCTCTAAACTTGCACATAAGAAACAAATAATTCTCCATCACTATAAATCCTGTAACAAACAACAATTATATTTCAGCAAACAACTCAAACAATCTAAAACAAAATCTAATACAGTGATAAAATTATCAGCTAACTCAAACACATCCAAAAATCAACAATGATAAATTTAACAGTTAACATTACCAAAGACCAAGAGCATGAACAGTGAATAAGGCTTACATGAACAGTGAATAAGGCTTACACTTATTAGGCATGGTAACTCGATTTGAATCTTACCATTACATTATGCAGCTTTTTCATCTCATATTCTCATACTCACTGATAAATTTATCACTGTTGAAAAAAGTTAGTTCAACAACACCTCCAAACTACTCAGTGATAAAATTATCATTGTAGAAAATCACAAACCAGCACCTATGTTCAACCAAAACAATTTCGTAACCACAAAAAAATATATATATATATATATAATAAAAAAAAAAAAAAAAAATCTAATATTCATTACATATACATATCTCAAAGTTTTCAATATCATGATCAAAATACAAATTCAATCGCAGAAACAACAGAAAACAACAATATCACAAACAAAATCAAAATCATAAACTCAAACTAAAAAACACAAAAATATCGAAATTGAAATCAAAATCAAATATACCAATCGAGCTTACAAAATTGCAAATCACAAAATCTAACTATACACCAAACGTGAAATCGCAAAACACGAAGATTCACAGATTTACAAAAAGCAAATCACAAATCGAGCCCCCTTCACAAGATCGCAAATTGCAAAATCTAAATATACACCAAGCGTGAAATTACAAATTACGAAGCTCCACAATAATGCATTAACAAATCCCGAATTTCCACAGAAATCTAAATCACAAACCCAAACTCACAATCACAAACCCAAACCCAAACCCAAACCCAGACTCACATCACAGTATTTTGATGGCAAAAATCAAATAGAAACAAGCCAGAAAAGGAAAAACAAATCAAGGGTAAAACGGATACAAAAAAAAGACTCCAGGACCTATTGGTGCACAACATCAATATTCAGGACTAAGAGGGGAATAACTATAAAAAGTGGGACCGGCCAGTAAAAAACCCTATTTTATAAATGGGTGGGCCGGATTGGGTTGGATTTTTTTTTTAATCTCAAGCCCAACCTAAATATTAAATGGATATAAATCTCAACCCAATCTAACTTTATAGACCAAATAATTTCCCTAAATCTTAAAAATATCAAACTGAATTAAACAGATTGAACAAGTAATCAGACCGATAGCCACTCCTAAATATTTCCAACTATAATGTTAAATGAAATTTCACGGCAAAATTCAATGAGATCAATTTCTTGATCCTTTGGTGTATCCATATTGGTTTTGTAGATTAGAAAATTGAAAAAAAAAATTAGCATTTTTTTATATATTTATTTTCATAAATTTAAGATCAAAACACAATATCAATAAAATAAGAGAATGGATATCTTTGGGGTTCGAGGTTCTTCTTGTGACCTTAGTCACATTGGGGTGCTGTGTGCTTCGATGAGAACTTTTCCTGAGTATTTTTTGTTAATTTGAACCATTGATATTGTAAGTTTCGCTGAGTATATCATTTATGTAAAAAATTAAATTAATCGAAAATCTACAACCCTATGACCAAATTATAATTACTTTAATTAAAATAATTTTCTTACACTTTCTATCCATTTAGGAATCAAGGTCACTGTTGTGTATTCATATTTTCTTATAAGTAGTGACTGTTGTGCAGCTTATGGGAATTATTTCGGACTTTATTTTCATCATCTAAACCGTTCAATTTTTAACGAACATTGAGTAGAACATACCTGCAAAAAATCAAGCTGATTGGATATCGATAGACCTTTCATCAACTCGAATTTATACATATAAAAAATAAATATATAAGTATTAAACTAAATATAAATGTGAGTTGATAAAGGGTCTACCAATATCCAATCAACTTTATTTTTTATAGATATATTGTACTCGATATTCTTTAAAAATTGAACGGTTCAAATGATGAAAATAAAATCTGAAATAATTTGCAAAAACTATACAACAGTCAGCAATGACTCCAACTCCATCAATTTCAAGCTAAACATATCACTTTTTACTTGGAGCAATGATACATTCCTCTAATTTTGGAGTTCTAATTGAGCTCTAATAATATAGCAGAAAATAAAAAAATAAAAAATCAAAATAATCAAAATCAAAATATTACAACATAATGAAATCCACTCCCAATAAAATTTATTAGAGTTCCTTTATTAGACTGCCAATCATTTTTCTTTTTACTTATTTCATTCTAAACAAATTGTGGCTTATTAATTTTGGGCACCCACCCACAATATCCAGCATGTGTGAATATGCGATGGGGATGAAGTTATGTGTGATTGGGATGAAGTCGTATCGTATCGAGTAAAGCCGGTTGTATCTCAGAATGTGTAAAACTCGATCAATTCAACCTTCTCTGCATTACTTACAATCTTAGATATTCAACTCCTAACCTGTTAATACTCAACTCATAACTCAACTCAACTCAACTCAACGCCATGGATATATCTTCCTTATCTGCTACTTCAATTCACTTGCATTCCATTCCTTCTTCTTCATTCCCCTCTATTAGAACGACCACTGTACCTTCCCGGAAAAATAGCAACCACCGTAAAAACTCCATTGTTGTCTCATTCTCAGCTTCTTCAACCAAAGATATCTGGAATAGAAGAACAACAACGACGCCGTCTTCTACTCCCCACATTCTTCGTCGTCGAAAACAGCAACAAGTGTACTTAGACCACAGCGTCGACATGGAAGATCTCTTGTCATCGATTCGGCAGACCTCGAACGAGCAAGAACTGTACTCTCTGATGTCACCGTACAAAGGTCGACAACTTTCCATACGGTTCATGGTGACGCTTCTCTCTCGCGAACCGGACTGGCAACGATCGCTCGCTCTGCTCGATTGGATCAACGAACAGGCCTTATACACTCCCTCTGTGTTCGCTTACAATGTTGTGATGCGAAATGTGCTTCGGGCGAAGCAGTGGCAGCTCGCACACGGCCTGTTCGACGAAATGCGCCAACGAGCGCTTTCGCCCGACAGGTACACTTATTCCACGCTTATTACCCATTTTGGTAAAGAGGGTTTGTTTGATGATGCTCTGTCTTGGCTTCAAAAGATGGAACAAGACCGTGTTACTGGTGATCTCGTTTTGTATAGCAATCTTATCGAATTGTCTCGTAAACTATGTGATTACTCTAAAGCAATATCGATTTTTTCGAGATTGAAGCGGTCGGGTATTTTGCCTGACCTTGTTGCTTATAATTCGATGATTAATGTGTTTGGGAAGGCTAAACTTTTCCGTGAAGCGCGTTTGCTTCTTCAAGAAATGAGGTTGGTGGGTGTCATGCCAGATACGGTTAGCTATTCAACGATTTTGAGCATGTATGTTGAGAACCAAAAGTTTGTCGCGGCACTGTCTGTTTTCTCTGAGATGAAGGAGACTAAGTGTCCGCTTGATCTGACTACTTGCAATATTATGGTTGATGTGTATGGGCAGCTTGATATGGCCAAGGAAGCTGATAGGCTGTTCTGGAGCATGAGAAAGATGGGAATTGAGCCGAGTGTTGTTAGTTACAATACACTTTTGCGGGTGTATGGTGAGGCTGAGCTTTTCGGGGAAGCCATACATCTCTTCAGGTTGATGCAGAGGAAAGATATTGAGCAAAATGTTGTTACTTATAACACCATGATTAAGATTTATGGGAAGTCTCTTGAGCATGAAAAGGCTAATAATCTTATCCAAGAGATGCAAAGCAGAGGAATTGAACCCAATGCCATTACGTATTCAACCATAATATCAATTTGGTGTAAGGCAGGGAAATTGGATCGAGCAGCAATGCTGTTTCAGAAGCTAAGGACTACTGGGGCTAATATTGATCAGGTGCTTTATCAGACTATGATTGTGGCTTATGAGAGGGCAGGTCTGGTTGCACATGCTAAGCGTCTGCTCCATGAGCTTAAGCGCCCAGATAACATACCCAGGGAGACTGCCATCATGGTTCTTGCTAGAGCTGGACGTATAGAAGAGGCCACATGGGTCTTTAGACAGGCTATTGATGCCGGAGAAGTCAAGGACATATCTGTATTCAGCTGTATGATAGATCTTTTCTCAAGGAACAGAAAGCATGCGAATGTCATTGAGGTGTTTGACAAGATGAGAGGAGCGGGTTATTTCCCAGATTCCAATACGATTGCTTTAGTCCTAAATGCTTATGGGAAGTTACGGGAGTTTGAGGTGGCAGATGATGTATATAAGGAGATGCAGGAAGAGGGTTGTGTTTTTCCTGATGAAGTTCACTTCCAGATGCTGAGTCTCTATGGTGCAAGAGGGGATTTTGACATGGTAGAGTCACTGTTTAAAAGGTTCGACTCTGATCCCAGCATAAACAAGAAAGAGTTGCATCTTGTTGTTGCCAGCATTTTTGAAAGAGCCAATAGACTTAATGATGCATCTCGAATAATCAATCGGATGGGAAATAATGGTAATTTTGAACTATTGCTATCTAGGAAGAGTCTAAATTTATGACTATCTAGGAAGAAATTTCTGTGTGGATACTATATTTGTTCCTTTATTGTACCTTTCACACAGCAAACTAATTTTATCATGTTGTTTATGGTGTTCATATCCATTTCAGGATCGTGGACAATGTATATAAAACTACTAATTAGAATACTCCTATTTTGTTCCTCTTTCTTTCACTTAATTTGTCTTCCATGTGAGATGCAATACATTTGATTGTTACAATAAATATGAGTAATAATATACAAACTAAAACCTAATCCAAAAATAATAATAATAACATACAAACTAAAAAATCTTTTAGTTTTCTTTTTACTTACTGATGTAGCACACATATCATGTCATTCAAGTGGGTATTGTTTCAATTTCAAAAAGTTTATTATTAGATAATACATTAGTTAATAAGAGAAATTTGTAGATTTTGTTAGTTTGTATAACATTTTTTAATAAATAAACAAGTATAGAGAAAGCAATTAATTTATTTTCTTGCATAAATAAATTAATATTATTATTTATTATTTATTTTTTAAATGGGGAAAGCAATTACATCCGTAAGGTAACCTCAAAAATAACCAGCTGTTGCAAGGGTGATGGAAAATCTTAGGATCTGAAGCAATGGAGAAGATCACAAATACATATAAATAATTTAGTTTGTACGATTTGAATTATCAAGATAAACTCAGGTGAACCCACAATACATTGAACTGGGGAAAATTACAGGGTGTGGTTTGTGTCCAGTCCGTAATTGGATTGGACCATGCTGTTGGGCCCCGTGAGCCCACCACGGAGCCCGTATGATCCAAACCGCTCAATGTGTAGGACTTGTCGAGTACTTTATCTTTGTAAAAAATCACGTTAATCGAATATCGATAACCATTTGATCAGATCACATTTCTATTAACGTTTAGTATGATGAAGATGGTTAGGGGTCAAAAAACAAGCAAAGACTACTTTCTCCGATTACTCCAATTCAATCCCAACCATATAATTCAGATGCATCAAGCTGCGTTGCTTTGGATTCCATTATCTACATTGTTGGCAGCGCAGCATTCAACCCAGACAAGCATTCTCTTCCAGACACATTCTATTTTGATGCTCAATCAAGGGTGGAAGATTGGCCCTAGCATGACTACTGCCAAAGAGCTTTCTTATGCCACAACTATAAATGGAAAGATCTTTGTTATGGGAGGTAATCTAGAAGCTGAATATTGGATTGCAATTTTTTATCCACGTTTGGAGGAATGGAAATCTTTATGTACCCCACCTAATAAAGACTGATGGGCAAGGCCCAGGGTGGTCCAGCCCACGGCCCAAGATCTAGTCCATGGCCTAAGATCCAAGGGTCCAGCCCACGGCCCAGGGACTAACCATGTAAGTAGACAAAGATCCTGCAAAGTTTTTGCACCTCTATCAGTCATTTAATAAGACCACCATAGCATTAAATGTGGCAAGACTCTTCACACCGGAATATTCATAATCACCATGAACGATGTTAACCAGGCTATAGACTTTCAGTCAGGAAGATGGCTGGGAAAGGACAAGAAAATGATGAACAAAGGAAAAGATATAAGGAAGCTTTAGCGATATGTTAAAGATGAAGTACTTCATCCCATTCTTTCTTTCTTTCTCTACAATCAATCCACCCTGATCTAACTTGATCGTCAGAGTGTTCGCCAGGGGACTACTCCCCCTTTGGGCCTTTTTGCAGGCACGCTCTGTAGATTCCAAGACTAGAAGACCCGTTAGTAGCATGGATAAGTCCGACCCTTGCCCCCTTTGATAGACTGTATCAACAGTTGGCGCCGTCTGTCTGGCTAAGCTCTTCAGTCTCAGTCTGGTTGACGCTTATTTAACTTAGTTTGGTTGAGCTTTGCAGGTTCAGTCTGGCTGAGCCTCAGCCAGACTGAGTTAAATAAGTCTCAGCCAGACTGAGTAACATAAGCCTCAGCAAAATTGAGCCTAAAGAGCTCAGCCAGATTGAGTTAAATAAGCCTCAGCCAGACTGAGCAATATAAGCCTCAGACAGACTAAGTACCATAAGCTTCAGCAAAACTGAGCTTGAAGAGCTCAACCAAACTATGTCTTAAGTTCTGCCCGACCAAGTCCAGTAACCTCCACTCCATTTTCAAATTACCTACTTCCTTCTTGTTCTTTCTTTCAAAATTATTCTTTTTCCCAAATAACGCATTTACATACGTGGCATTCAAACTCAAAATCAACTCAATTCTTGAAAGGCCACACATGGCAAGACACACAGCAGTTTTATAACTTAACTTTATTGCAAACTGTAAAGTCCTTCACAAAAGCAATTTCACACTTCCAATACAAATTTCACACAAACTCTAATTATCTTTACACAAGCACTTTGCCAAAAAAAAAAAAAAACTGGTATAGCAGGCTGTGGGCAGTATAGCTACGTCTTCACCTTTCCCTATCTCCATTTCCTTTCTCCCCACTGGACACTAGATCTTTTTTATCGATACCCTCATCTAGCGAGGTCTGAGCAATGTCTCCCTCTCTTGGCCGAAAGAGCCTGGCGTCGATGTCTGGGAAGATCTCCGCTGCCCTCCGTTGGCAACTCACCCACCCACTATCCCAGTACATGCTTATAAAAGTCTAGCTGTTGGAAGCGCTGGATAATTTCACTTTTGGTCTGCCCCTCCACCAGTTCAGCAGTAGCCACGTTTGACGGCCTAGCCCCACATTTCCTCTCTCCGATACTGCTCCTTGCCACTACTGCGTCGACTGCCATTTGAAACTCAGACGATAACTTAAACTGCTCCACCACAGTGACGCACGGATCTGGGTAAGCAATTCCCTCTGACGTCATCAGCCTCTCTAACTCTGCTAACTTGGCCTTTTCTTCAGCCAAGGCCTTTGCTAACTCCGCCATCCGTGCATCCGTCTCTTCCTTCTCCTTCAGAGGCGCGTCATGAAACTCTTCATTGTTGACTAAAGCTTCTTCCAACCTTTCCTTCGCTATCTCACAGGTGGCCTAGATTTCTTGGCATCGTCTCTGCTCAACAGCCAATTCCGCTGCCATATCGCTCAGCTGCGCCCTAGCCTTTACTAGCTGCACCTTGTTCTCCTCCTCCCCACCCTTGGCACGTTCCGCTACAAACCCCTGCACAATCGCCAACACCTCTAACTTTTTGGCATCTCGGCATGCTTTAGCCATTGGTAGCAAGCGCCTCATGCCACTCTCTACCAGCGTGCACACTTTGCGTTTGCTTTCCCCAGCTCAGCCTGGGTTTTCTCCAATTTTACTTTCAGTTGGCTCACTTCCATCTTTGCGCCCACACTCTTACCTACCAGCGCTGCTGTTAATGTCAGCAACTCCATTTGCGCAGAACAGAATGCTCTCATCAGGTCTGCCTTCCCAAACCTGGAAACATCCCTGACTGCTGCATCCTTTATTGTCCCCAACAAACGGTCCGTTGCCACTCACACATTACTTAATACATTGGCAGGCTCTCCTCCCCCCCCCCACTGGCAGAAGACCAACTACTGCTCCTAGATGGCGCGCAGCTGTCTTTTTGGCCTCCGCTTTTGTGCTCACTGGGGCAGACCTCTCCTCAGGTCCCTTCCTCTCTACTCTGATCTTTTTCTCCATGTTCTCTTCTGACGTTTGCACATCGTTAGTCTACCCCTCCTCTTTCTTGTCTTTCGTCCCTCTCACCTCCACCATCTTCGTATTTGAGGGTTCAGCTTCCACCACAACCATCCTTGGTTAGGGCCCCACTCTCACCTCATCGCTCGCCACCGTCGCCGTTTCTTTCTCTTCTTTCGCGTGGCCACCCTCTCTCTACCCTCTGTCCCACTCTTTCTTTTTTTCCTCAACACCTCCTCCATCTCCACCCTACTCCTCTCCTTCAATGGGTCCACCAGCTCTTTCATCGGCTCGAACGTACTCAGGTCCTTGCCTGCCAACGGTTTAGGCCTTGGGCGGGCCACCCTTTCCACCACTGCCTTTGGCGCCGGTCCCAACTCTCTTTCCTTGTATTTCTCCGCAACTGCTAAGATCCTCCACTCCTCTGCCTCTTGCTCATTCCTTGTCACCTCCACCTCTTCAGGCGTCGGATCTCCTTCAGTAGGCTATGCCTCCAATCCCAGCGCAAATAGGGCATAGGGCTTCACCAAGTCATCCCACTTCACCTCCTATTTTTCTCGCTACTGCCTAACCTGCTTTACCCTTTCCTCCGCCGCAGCGTCCAACTTCGGTTCAAGCAATTTGGTGGGGACTTTCTACATTGTCCATACCGCCCTCCCCCCATTCTCCGATACAAAAAACCACTTCGTCCACCACCCTTTGATAGACGACGGTAACCTCGTGACCAGCCCTCTACCCACCACTGCTTACAGGGTTACCCATGTCTCATGCTGACCGAATGCCTTGTAACACGAAAACAATTCTTCCACCAACATCGCTTTCCCATCGGTCGCCCGTAGCTAGGCAACCACACATGCCATCAGAATCTTCTACGTGTTGGGCATCAACTGGCCGAGCGCCACTTCCAGCCGATTTAGCACATCGGCAACAATTTAGGGAATTGGCAACCTCAAACCCCCCCGGAGTGCCTCTTCGTACAACGTAAACTCTTGGGGCCTTATGTTTGACGCCCTCTCTGTTCCCAACGGCACTCTCAACTCAACATCTACGAGAATCTAATACTTATTCCGTAATCCCTCCAGATCCCTCGTCGTTAGTGTCGACTTATCCGCTTTGGTGTGCCAATGATCAAGGGACATTTGGCTCACAAGTTGGACAGCCGATGTCATTGTCGCCGGAGCAGGCCGTGGCGGCCTTTCCCCCATCTTTTCCTCTACCCTCTCCTTTTTATATTTCTCCGCCATTGTAATCTCGTCGTCTTCACTTAAGGCATTCGGCGTCAAGGCAAGGGCTCTCTCTTATGTCATCTGCCTTGCGTTCCTGTAAATCACCTCAGCTACGGGGAACAAGTAGTTCGCAATAAGAAATAAGGGAGAATCACAAGAAATGAATGCACACAAGTCTAGGATCTGTCGATTTCTCGCAATTAGATACGTAAATCGCAGACAAGCCCAAATGCCCAAGGTTTCCCTATGTTCCACGGATCGTGATTAAACTTTGCCAGTTTGAACCTCACAATCTAGATACATCCTTCACCTTTTCAAAAATCCCCCACTATAAACCTTTCCCATTTCCATTGACCATTCAATCTCTTCATCAACGGTGCGGATTACTCCACGCGTGTCAACGCGCTACGTCGCCCTCATTAATTACCTTTCCTTTTACGCCTTTTCCCCTTCGCATTATCATGTGCGTTTCTGCCCCTCGAGCCCCGCGCCCTTTCGTGCACCATCAACACCACCCGATCGGTCCACCGCCCTTTACGCTCGGCCATCCTTGCAGTCGGCCACCTTTGCGATCAGTCACCCTAGTGGTCTGCCACCCTTACGATCGGCCACCCTTGTGCTCGGCCATCCTTGTGCTTGGCCACCTTAGCGGTGCCATCCTTACGGTCGACCACCCTTACGGTAGGCCACTTTAGTGGTAGGTCACCTTAGCGGTCGATCACCCTAACGGTTGGCCATTTTTGCAATCGGCCACTCTTGCGTTCAGCAACCCTTGCGCTCGGCCACCTAGCAGTCAGCCCTCCTTCGACGGTCGCCCATCCTTTATGCCCGGCCATCGTCGCGGTCGACCCCTCATGTCGGTCGGCCGTTCACCGCGCTCGCTCCCTTTTTCCTCCCGTGCCACACACCCATCCACCCTCAACCCTCTTCTCCACCTTGGGGGACACTTTCCACTTTTCATATTTCCTTCATTGGACTAAAAGCTGCACTTGGGAATGGGGGACTCCTGATGGGCACGGCCCAGGGGGTCCAGCCCATTGCCCATGGACTAGCCACGTAAATAAACAAAGATCTTGCAAAGTTATTGCACTCACATTAGCTATTTAATAAGACTACCATAGCATTAAATGTGGCAAGACTCTTCACGCCGGAATATGCAGAATCATCATGAACGATACTAACTAGGCTATAGATTTTCGACCAAGGAGATAGTTGGGAAGGAACAAAGAAATGAAGAACAAAGGAAAAGATATAAGGAAGTTTTGGCGATACGTTAAAGGTTAAGTACTTCATCTCATTCTTTCTCACTTTCTCTACAATTAATCCACCCTGATCGAACTTGATCGTCGGAGTGTCCGTCGGGGGACTACCTGCCCCTTTGGGCCTTTTTGCAGGCACGCTTCGTGGATTCCAAGACTAGAAGACCCATTAGAAGTATGGATAAGTCCAACCCATGCCCCATTTGATAGACTATATCAACAAAGACTATGATACAAATTCAGAGGTTGTTGTTAGTGATATAGTTCTTAACGTTGATGACAAGTTTAGACTAGTATTGCCTTGCCTGCGTTATGAGGCACGGACAGAACCCTTATATTCCTACGAGTCTAAGTCAGAGGCTACAACATGTTATGGTTCCTGGACAGACTGAACTGCTATTGTTGTTGGTACTATCTTGTGCTTTCGTGATGGGATTTATAATTTTGGTGGCAAGAACATAATGTATGCTTATGAATTGCTAGACAATAATAGGGGGAACCCTAAATAGGTGAGGGGTTTACAAGGAACAGGGGCGTTTCCTCCAGAATGCAGTCGTCATGCTAGTCAGTGACATCTGATTGATTTAGGGAATGGAAAGTTGTGTTTAATGTGGTCTGACAAGCGGAGTTCGGATGAGCTATTGCATGTTCAGTGCTCAAATTTTACAATTTCTAAAGAGAGTGAAGAGAATGGTGGTGGTGTCGTTGTTCACATTGAATCATCGAGAGACTATTTTGTTGATGGTGATAGACTTAAAGATTGCCTCATGGTGTGAAACAAAATTCTAGGTATTTCGGGTTTTCATTGATTTGATTTGATTTTTGGGTTTAGGTTAAGTTAATTAAGTTTGAGAAACTCATCTTGTGAGTGGTTTTGGGACTAAAACAGCCACAAAAAACAAAATAGGCTATTTTAGCCATAACAAACAAAACATCACATCCAACCCATAATCATTACACTCTTCTCTCACAAAAAAAGTCAAAAAAGCCAAAAAGCTAAAAAGTCTTTCCCAAACCAAACTTTTTAGCCCAAGCTAAAATAGGCAAAAAAGTCAAAAAGCCAAAAAGCCAAAAAGCCAACCCACTTTCCAAACAGAGGCTCAGTGTGATATGGTTTGGCTTAAATCATACAACACCATACCTTTGGCAAAAGTTCTTTAGATAATTTTATATATATATATATTTTTGTTGACATTATTCACACTAGCCATTATGATAATGTTGTCAACATAAACTTTGGATTCATTGCCAAGGGTTAGTTTGCTCTGATTTGTTTTGTTCTTTCTGTCACTGAAGTCTTATTGATACAACTGTGGATTGTGTTTGGGTGTGCTTGTGTCTCTGCATTAGTCATCTTTAGTTCAAGTTCAGTACATTGGAGTCTTAACTGTATCTGATCATAATAAGCAATAATCCATATATTGATAATAAAATCAAACAAAGAAAGGCATGGGGAGGGAGGCTCGTGACTTTGGAAGAATTTTGGACTTGGTGGAAGGATATTGGTTGGGGGGCGGCTGGGCAATGTGTGTTGTCAACATAAAATTTGTATTCACCTTTGTGGCCCTGCACTCACCAACCCACGGCACCCGGCAAACTCCATCGTGTCTGTGCTCCCTAGCCCAGTTTTTCATGCCATCAAGTGCATCCTGGATGGAACTCAACTGAGCCATAAATTTTTGAAGCTTAAACAAATGGTAATGGCTAGTGGGACTGCAGGGAACTCTGTTTTGTTGGAGGGAACTCTCTATTTTGCTGTTATAAGGGTTTAGAGAAACAAGAAGGGGGTGTTTGGATAAATTTCCATATTTCTATTTTATTTGAACTTTTAGAATTTTTTTATATATATTTTACATTTTAAATGCATTTATTAAAAAAATAGATCTAAAATATGAAGAACTACCCCCAAAATAATTCAAAAAACAGTTCACATTGATCCTTCCTTCACAAGTTTTACGGCTAGCTCCCAAGTCAAACTCAATGCCCTCTTGATCACCCGTCCTGCCTGAAGGCTGATGGTCAACCCTGGTAAATTGCCCAAAGTTTTACACTCAGAAATTTAGTTCATATTTTATTTATATTTCTCTCACTTTTTTCTTTTATTTTCATTCAAATTCATGATTCAATAGGATTTTTCCTTTTCTTTTTTTTATTTATTTATTATTTTTTTATTTTTAAAATCTCTATATAAATTCACAGTTCAATTTTAACGGAAGTGTGTGAGAGAGATACTACAATTACAGAGTATCACCTACTGTTGTTTGACAGGAAACCACACAAATGGGCACCTTGACGATGGTCCACCTTCTAACGCCATTGCAAATGCCTGAAATAAAACAATAATAATATAAACACAATTTTTGTTTTCCTTCTGAAAAAGTACACATAATGCTAGAATAGAACGTAAAATTTCCGTGTTTTATAGCATTACCCGAAACAAAAACGTCCTTGACAAAATTAAAGCGTGATATTCCCAATTCCAAATATGAATACAGTCAATTGAAAATGGTGAATCTCTGATTATTTTGTGAGGCTATAGAAAATTCTAGTTCTTGCCACGACACAGAATTAATACGAAAAGATAAAAGTATAATCATGATTATGAGAATAGAAAGAGATGATCTAAATATGCCAACAGCAAACAATTATATAACTAGCTATGTTAGCTAAGATAATCTGACATAAAACATGACAACTAATCTAAGAGAATATTTATAACTGAGCTTTCTTTTTTAGTCTACATTTGTGTGTTGTACAGGTCAATTGGGCATGTTGAACCCATTATAGGGCTTACTCTAATAATTCAATTTATTCATTTTAATTTGATAATTGTAGTTTGAAGACAAATGTAACGAAATAATATGATTTCAACTATCGAATCAATTTAATTTTTTTTCAAGAACAATTTAGACATAAAAACTTACAAAATGCTCGAATTGAATCATTAAAATGCAATTTGTGGTAGACCTCACAAGCCCAACGAGATAGTCACTTCACAAGCTGTGTTAAGATATTCAATCCAACCATCACCTATCCATCTTGTGCGGGCTAACTTTACTATGAAGAAGAAAATTATAAAAAAGAAGTTATAGGGTATCTCATCGCAGAAGATTGACACTTGGTTCACGTTGCTATCCCAAACCAAGTGTCATCTCTTCTGCGAAGAGAGTCCCACAACTCCTGTGCTTCTTGTCACGCCTTTGCCTTTCCTTCCAAACAATGTACTCTCCTTGAGAATTTATAGTACCAAAGTTAGGTGTCTTCTCTCTCTTCTCTTTTCTGTCTTCATACCAATATGCATACATACACATACACATGGCGAAACATACATGCATACATAAAATATACACATGGAATCACAGAGAAAAACAAAGTGAGAATAGTCTAGGGAGTCAAAGTTCAAAGTTCAAAGTTCAAACTAGACGAAAGGCAAATCCTTTTCACATTGCTAATGATAGTAGTAAATTAGAAAGACCAATTAGTTTGGAAGCTATTTTCCAGTGAATGAGAAGACCAGTGTTTTGGAAAAAATATTAGATGGTCCCAAATTATCATGTGATATTTGCTTATATGGGATTTTTAACAAATGAAAAATCGTAACTTCCACTATGTAGATCATCTTCAACACTAAAATTGAGTCATTATATCTCATTTATAAAAAATTTCACTATACCATCGATTTAAACCACTATGTACTATCACATAAGAGCAATGATTGAGATCCCCACCCTCACAAGACCCCCACAAATTTGAACCACTCATAATGTGGACCTTACACATACATGAGTAGACTCCACACATACATAAAGCCGAGATCACTTTGGAGGTGTGGGGGTCATCTCCAAAAGGGTCCCAAACATTTTCCTATCACATAATCCTCTAGAATTATTCAATAATTACTGAGACTTTTGAATTCGTTGATGGGGATAATGAGACACATGACTGCATTTCCTTGAACTTATCATGAATCATATATTCACTCTTAGAACGGAGAAGATTTTGGTCAAAATAATAAAATAATTGGAGCGCGACCAACAAGACCTTCTCCAATGTGAAATATGGAAACCCTGACTTTCATGTTCGGTTGCTTAAGGTTGCGTTTGGATGTTCAATTTATAAATATAAATGACAAAACAAAAGAACTTTTATTTAATTTCTTTCTCATAAATTTTTTAATAAATTCAAGATGTAAACACAATAAAAAAAATTACTTTGGGTATTTTCTTCAAATTAGAAGTGTAAGGGGCATGTTAGCCACTTAATTGTTATTTTGATTTGCAAAATATTCCCTTTATTTGTGATATGAAAAAGTCAGGCACTCCTAACAAGTCTTTCTTAAAATGACATGGCAGGTTACAGATTAACTTTTGAATAATTAGTCACAAATTTAATCATATAAGATTTTGATATGGGTAGACAAATATCGGATTCGTCCAGGTTTTGGCCTGGCTTATATTAGGAAATTAAAAAATCTCTCATGGCTAAAAGCTTGACTCTCAATTCAATTTGAGGCCTAAAAATCTCTCTCAAACCAAGCCCTAAAATAGTATTACAATCTTAAGCCTGTCCAACAAATCCATATATTATAAAACTAAAATTAACAATTTCATAGATTGGTTGACACAAAATCTTAATATATAAGTATAGACTTAAGCAAGTGCTTTTCATCTTAAGTGCATCTTTTTTTTTAATTTAAAAACATAAAATCAAATAAATTATATGTATAAATACTATATATAATATTTTCTTAATAATTTATATACGTCCTCAAAATAGGAAGTTCAGATGGGCAGTTCATACCCATTCTTAAGCTCAACTCTCCTATCATATAATTGTAAACAAAATTAACAATTTCATATATTGGTTGACACCAAATCTTAATATATAAGTATAGACTTAAGCAAGTGCTTTTCATCTTAAGTGCATCTTTTTTTTTTTATTTAAAAACATAAAATCAAATAAATTATATGTATAAATACTATATATAATATTTTCTTAATAATTTATATACGTCCTCAAAATAGGAAGTTCAGATGGGCAGTTCATACCCATTCTTAAGCTCAACTCTCCTATCATATAATTGTAAACAAATTTAGAAATTTAATAAAAATATTACAATTAAATCATATCTTTTAAAAATAATTACAGAATAATTAAAAAAAATTAAGACTTTAACTTTTAAAATTTTTAAAATTTACTATTGATTTTTTTTTCAAATTTCTGACGTAAATTATGAATTCTTAAAATTGTTTTTTATTACATCTGAAATTGCAGTGAAATTACCTTGTCAAGCTAAGTGGGCCGCAATTTAAAAATCGTCTCTCACTACTACAAGTCATGGTGTGCAGTCAATTTGCTTTACAACGCTAATTGGAGCTCTCTCTCTCTCTCTCTCTCTCTTTACAAGTGTTGGAGGCTTAAAAAATTTATACAATTTTTGCGTTTTTATGTGAATATTATGTAATTTTTTTAAAAGTTTTTAATATTAATCTTTTTCACTTGCTATCAAAACATTAATTATTGTTGTTATTATTTTAAAAATATTATTTTAGATGATAATTTTTCAAGCTGGCTGTCACCAATGCTGCCAACTTCTCAATGTAGGCCAGAGTTAAGATTCCAGAATTTAGAAATTTCCAATTTGTTGTTTTCTGTCCACAATCAAAACATTTTGGAAATTTTCATCAGCAAGTCAAGTTGGCCAATGAATGAGAGACAGAGAGGGTCAACACTTCCACTTGTTTCAATCATTTCTTTTAGTCGTGAGATTTTTTATAAGACTGGAATTTTTCAATCAACGACCTGTCTCGTTCGGGTCTCATTATGTTCACACGGACCAGTCAAATTAAACCCGCAGAGTGACAAGGCCTGTGTGGTGTGGTGTGGCGTGAGGCAATCACTCTCAAATGAAATGACGTCGATTCCAATACAAATATTGCTATTTGTTCAACCATTTACATCTCCTAATGGTGATGGGTAGTCATGGATTCGATGCCCGTCCAAAATTTAATCTGATATTTTTAGATTTTAAAAAATATATATTTAATTCATAAAATTGGGTTGAATTTAGTTAATAGGTTTCATTTAAAGAGTTCCCCAGAAATACACTTAAGTATATTAGTGGTTAGACACGTGCTTTGCACGTAATACGTGATTTTTTATCAATTGTCAGTACTGTAATTATGTGTGTCTCTTAAATTAATATGTGATATGTATATAAAGTATGGAGATTTGTATAGTTAAATGGATCTGCTTTCAAAATACATCTAAGCAAGAAATAAATATATACTCTGTTGAAAAATTTAAATAATAAATGAGAAATTTTATAAACATAAATATTAATTTGCAGTTAGATTGTTAAGATCACAACATTATCTTAAATAATAAACAATTAGCAGGTCTTTTAAATATATAGTGTTACACACATATTTTTCTATCAACTTTCCACTTTAATTTTTCATAATCCATACTTGTAATACAATTGAAGGTATGTAATTAATTGCACAATTACACAATTTTGTTTAATAATTCATCTCATAATACAAATTTATTGAACTCACTATTGCATATTATTTACATACTATTAGTGTAAGAATGCATTAATATCAATATGTAATATATTTTTATACGTCAAGAGTTGTTGAGTCTTATTTCCTGTGCCACGAATATCTTGTATGATGAAAAATATAACATTAATCATTAGTTGTCACGACCCAAACTCGCCCCTATGGGTTTAGCATCGCAACCGGCCAATAATCCGTGATTATCAAAGGCCTGCTTAACAGTAATGACAGTAATACAGAGTAACGGGCTGGCGGAAGCCAAACAGTAAATAAAAAGATGTCCAATGAGCTGCAAAAATCTCCTATCTAAAAAAAAAAAAAAAAATGAGCTGCGAAAATCTAAATGGAAAAAGACTTTTATGAACAGAGCCACATTCATAACCAAACATATATACATACAACATATACACATAACATCCAGGTTAGGGATCCAATCCCATCATCCTGCCTATACAGTTAAAGGTCTTAACATTCATTACATAACGGAGACAAAAAGGGTGATCCTGAACACCCCAAAACAGCCTTAGCTCGGACGCACTCGGAACCTCGAAGTGAGGCACGATGGTTGGCTTGACAAAACGAGAGCTTAACTTGACGCTCCTAGCCTCGGTCCGGTGCCTGGACACCTACACATAAATATAAACAGTGAGCTAAAGCCCAGTGAATAACATATGCGTAAAGGGGTTAAGAATAAATGTCCTTTCATTAATTAAAACAGTCATTTGCATCAGTAAATCAATTATTCAATCAGTGGCTCATATTTCATGCCATATCAGTCATTTAGAAATCATAACAGTCATATGTGGTACATCCAATAGCAAAATGGTACAGTAGGTCTTAATAGACCAAACAGTCAGTTGATGGCCATCAAACAGTAAATAGTAGTAGTTCCAAACATTGGAACTGACAGAGATCTCTGTAACAGTAGCAGTAACAGTAACAGTAAGTTGCTATGGATACCACGAGTACAGTTCATTAATAGGACAAATAATCATTCAGTAAGTAATGTTAGGGGTCCACGCTCGAGCGTGGCTTTCTACGCTCGAGCGGACATGTAGACAATGAAGCTCCGCTCAAGCGTGACTTTCTTCGCTTGAACGGCCTGCAAACTCATGAAAAGTATTGGTTGCATGATATTCATGCTCGACGGACGCTCGACCTTCGCTCGAGCGTGAGACTTAGACCCTCGCTCGAGCGTGAATTCTCTCGTTCGAGCGGACTGCAAAACACATGAACTTCTGGGCATATGCATTTCACGCTCGAGCGTGACTTTCTACGCTCGAGCGGAAGTGCATGTACTCAGAGTGTACGCTCGAGCGTGAAGTCCTCCGCTCGAGCGTGGATCCAAAATCTGAAATTTTCAGATTGATCCTTAAGCAAAAAACTCAACTTCTAAAGCTTCAAACTCGATTCTTTTGGCTAATTTTCTAAAAAACACTTAAAAACCCATAATACAACATATTTCAAAGATCATTTTATAAAATCAAGCCCAAAGGTGTGATAATTGAACACAATTTTGAATGAAACTTAATGAACATAGCAAGAACACAACATGCATGAGTTCTTATGAATTCCAATGCTCCAAAACATGGTCAAATGCAAGATTGAACTCTAAAACATGGTGAATTCATGGATTACAACCAAAATATGGACATGCATGTGGAAA